CTTTTAAATTACTTTTTTCATTTATTTATTTTTGAGGGGGAGGCATGCACAACATACACGTGGAGGTCAGGTCAGATGGCAACTTGAGAGACTGGTTCTCTCCTTTAATACGGCAGAGCTCAGGTTATCAGGTTTATCCACAAGTCTCATTACTCACTGGGCCATTTCAGTTGCCCTGAATATGCCCTTTCTAACAAGGAAGCTTTGACTGTGTAAGGAGTTTTAGTAGGCAAGTTTATCCCAATTAGACAGTATCCAGTGGGTCCCTCCTCCAGGACCTTTGCTCTATCTTCAGTGATCTTTTCTAGATTGCGTCTTGTAGCTAGTGGTGGCTAATTCTCTTTAGGTTTGTGTATCAGCATTGTAGTCGTCCTGGCCATAACATCTAGCCTAGCCAAGCTCTAGGGTCCATTTCCTGACTCCATGTGATTGGGTTTGGGGATGTGGTTGCAGTGAGTGGTGGCCCTGGAACTGAAAACAAGGACAGCGGTGAGCTCAGCTCACTCCCGCTGGGCCTGACAACATTGGACACTCGGCCTCTGCAGTCTTCTGCCCTCCTGGACAGCAGCAGTAGCAGCAGCAGCAGCAGCAGCAGCAGCAGTTCATCTGGACCCAACCCTTCTACCTCCTTTGAGCCCATCAAGGCAGACCCCACAGGTGGTGAGTACTTCCTGAGGGGTGAGGGCCAGCAGGGAAAGTCAGCTCAGTGCTGTATCAAACACACAGCTGGGAAATGCCCTTCCTTCTGACCCCTCTTCTCTGCCACCCAGACAAGGGTGTCCAGTCTCAGGTCAGGGCTGGTGCCTTTGCCCCCTCCCTAGAACTTCAGTCACTGAGCCTCACTAATTGAGATTTGCTACTCTGTACTCCCCTTGCCATTCGTGTTTCCTTGTCTAGATGCCTTTAACAAGCACTCCATGTTCTCCTTGAGTCTGCCTCCTAATCACACAGTGCTGCTCCTAAAGGATCTAAGTCTGGTACTTTCTTGGTCCCTGCTGATGCTCTTTCCTCCTCTGTCTTTACTCTCAGCTCTTGGCTTTTCTGTATCACTGGCTTAAACATTGGTACTTCCCATATCACACCTGGAGAGGGCCTCAGCTCTAGGAAGCTGATAATGGGTTTCAGCCTCTACATAGTCCAGGTATTTTACTCAGTCTCCGCATCTCTATGTCTGACGTCCATCTTCTGCATCCCTGGTGGACACCTCCTTCTTGCATGTCTTCAGCTGAACTTATCCACCCTGCTCCCAGCTTGACTTTCAAGTTCCATGTGGACTCTTATCCCAGACTTGAGACACCTCTGTCACCTCAGTTCCTGGTCCCTCTGCTGCCCGCCTTACCTTGTCTAGGTAAGGTCTGTGAAGCAGATCTTCTCATCCCTCTCACATCCTCAGCACCCAGATAACTGTGAGCCATCTTCACTCGAGATTTATAGTCTTTCTTTCCTTTAAAACTTTTTTTAAATTTTTTTTTGTAATTTCATGCACATATTCAATGTGTTTTTTTAATTGTTGTCTTTTTGAGACAGAGTCTCTATGTAGCTGCGGCTCTCCTGGAACTTGTTATGTTGACCAGGTGGCCTCTGCATCCTGAGTGCTGGGAAGGAAGGTGTGTGCCACCACACCCAGTTCTATGTAGTGTACTTTGATCATTTTCAACCCGGATCTCCCCCTTCATTCTCCTAGTTCTTCCTCTTCCATTTTCATCTCTTTTATAACCCATTAATTCTAGTTAGTGCTACATGCAAGCACAGATCCAAAGAAAATGACTCCCCCTTTCCCAGCTAGTTGGTTGGCTTGATCTCATGTAGGTAACCATAGCTGCTAGTGAATTCACGAATACCGCGGCATTGTTAAATTCATGACCGGCATTCACAGCACTTCTGCATCCCATGACGTGTACATTCCTCCCATACCTCCTTTAGCAGTGTTCCTGAGCACTCTACCGGTTCTCAGTACTTTGATGAGCTACGAGCATGGACTCCTGCTGCCCATTTTCTCTGATCAACATAGAAGCATAAAAGTTTAGGAGATGATTTGATGATATGCCTATTTAGCCAAGCAATAGGAGTAAGTTCCCTGCCTACGAGCTATGATCTCTCCAGCCATGGGCCTTTGACAAGGTTTACAGTACCAGGCATGAACTACTTCCTATGGAACTGACTTCAGATCTAAGCAAAAGGGGCTTGGTTATCCCCATAAGAGTTATGCCCTGGTAGGCTGGTATTATACCACGTAGGGGCTATTGCCTGGTAAACCAATTAAAAGCATCCTTTTCTTTACTCTTACTAATGGAATGGCCTTTCTTCAATGCAGTCCTGACTGGTATTTCTCAGTTTGTAAGTATGCCTGGGATATTGCTCAGTGGTAGAGTGCTTGCTAAGCATGTATGAAGACGTGTGTCATCACCAACACCACAGAGTACAGGGATGGAGAGGTTGTGCACATCTGCTCTTCCATGGGGTTGGTTCTTTTCATCCACCTTAATGTGGGCTCCAGAGATTGGAGTTAGACAGTCGTGCTTTAAGACAAGCACTGGGATTCACTCAACTATCTCACTGGCCTCCCAAAATCTGTTTAAAATTATTTGTATGCTGGGCAGTGATGGTGGTGCACACTTTGAATCCCAGCATTTGGGAGGAAGAGGCAGGCGGATCTCTGTGAGATTCAGGCCAGCCTGGTCTACAGAGTGAGTTCCAGGACAGCCAAGGCTACACAGAGAAACCCTGTCTCAAAAAAAAAAAAAAAAAAAAAAAACCAAAGAGAGAGGATGTTTATGCCCTGCCCTCTGAGACCAGAAGAGGGCATTGGATCCCCTGGAACTAGAATTACAGGAGGTTGTGAACTGCCTGGTGTGGGCGCTAGAAACCAAACTCAGGTCCTCTGGAAGAGCAGGAAGCCCTCTTAACCACTAAGCCACCTCTCCAGCCCTAACAACCATCATGGTCTGCTCAGGTTTCTTTGCCTTTCAATTCCCATGTGTGTCCTCCCGGTCAGAGGTCTGAAGTAGGTTCATCACACCAGCACTGCCCTCTGTCAACATGTTTTCTTGTCACAGCCCAGAGCAGGTACCCAGGAAGGGCTGGAGTGGATGGGGACTCTTCTCTAAGAGAAGGTGTGCACCCACAGCTCAGAAAGCAATTGGAGTTTTGCAGTGTATCTTGAGTTTTGTTTTGTTGTTTTTTGAGACAGGGTTTCTCTATAACAATCCTGGCTGTCCTGGGACCAGGCTGGCCTCGAACTTACAGAGATCGACCTGTCTCTGCCTCCCAAGTGCTGGAATTAAAGGCATGCACCATCACCACCCAGCATGTCTCTGAGTTAGAATGGCTGTACTTGTCACCTGCACTGGGCCTTTGGTAGCCTTGGCTCAGCACTGAGGAATTTAGGTCAGCAGACAAGACACCCATTCCTCGGTAGGACCAACATTTCCTCAGCTGTGTGGAGCTCTGGGGCTTAATGATTCATGACCTGAAGAAAGCTGGACTATAGTAGGACCCAACTGAACCTCCTTTGAGCTTAGTTTTTTTTCTTTTTCAGTTCTGGATCTCCCCAAAGAGCTGTCAGAAATTTTCGACCCCACACGAGGTAGGCTGTGTTCCTCCTTTGGAATGGATGTAGTGGAGTAAGGAACATACTTTTGAGTTCTCTTCTAAGGATGGTGTTGTTCTGGGTATCCTAGAAAAAGGGTGAGGCTCCTTCCTAGTGGATGTGTGGGGTGGGGATTTTCGTCTATGGGGTTTGGTGGGTGGAGAGGTGAGAACCAGAATCTGAGTGAATTGTGTTCATTCCCAGAGTGCATGAGCTCCGAGCTGCTGGAGGAATTGATGTCTTCAGAAGGTGGGTAGCCCAGGAAGATGGGGAGAGCTCTGAGCAGGGGGTGGGTGACTGCTGGGGGTTTTGGCCTAAGACCTCAGCCTGATGCTCTCTGCAGTGTTTGCCCCCCTCCTCCGACTTTCTCCACCTCCCGGAGACCACGATTACATCTACAACCTGGACGAGAGTGAAGGTGTCTGTGATCTTTTTGATGTTCCTGTTCTCAACCTCTGACATGTCCTGTGCAGCTGCAACCCAGACTGTCTGGGCTGGGAGCCACTTAGGGACTGCCCCAACCCCCACCCCCAGCTTGAGAGAGCCCCTGACTCTTGGCTTCCTCAGCCTTCCCCAGTTGCTCAGTTCCGGCCATGCCACCATGTCTCGCACTGGCACTTGTACTGTGCTAGCAGAGCAAGGGAGAGAGCTTAGCCCTCTCTACACGGAGCCCAAAATGTTTGCCTTTTCTTTTCTGAAGCCGTCCTCAGCTGGGCACAGCTGCCACCCAGTGGCACATCTGCCCTGTTCCTATCAGCCACTCTTCTCCTAAGGAGGGGAAGCGGGTGAAGCTGGGTAGTTGCCAGCTGCCACCCTAACTTCCTTTACCCACCTGCTCACCCTGCAGCTTCTGAGCCTCTCATGTGTTCCTTTCTGCTGTGCCCTGAGTCCTGGATCTCCGCCTTGGTGGAGGGGGTTAACAAGGAATTGATGTGTCTAGCTAGGAATCTGGGTGGGCTGGTCCCTGAAGAGTGGCCCAGTCTCCTTCTACCCCATACTCCCTCCCTCCCTTCTGTTTATTCACTTACCCTCATCTAGAGCCATTTGCAGAGATTTAGAAAGATTTACAGTAACGAATGGATTCCTATATAAAGATTATTTTTATACTTTTTTCAGCAAAAGGAAATTGTAATATTTGTACAGCATCCAAGTGAATAAAGACATGCCTAAGGCTATCTCTGATCTGGTTCTTTGGGGCCCCTCCCCGGGACTGCTGGGTTGTAGCTAGGACTGGGTGGGTCACCTTACTGGAATGGGAGGTGTGGCCACTGTGTGGGAGCCTGCCCTCCCAGTCTCCACCGGCTGCACCTTGGCGAGGGGCGGGGCCAGGCCTTCTCAGTGGGGCGGAACGGGTCAGGGCAGGCTGGGTCCTACCCTCCTACCCCTGAGATTAACCCGGAACTAACAGGCTCCTTTGGGAAGGCCTCGGAGCCAGATCAAAAGTGGGAACCTGAACCGTGGATGCAGGCCACCGAAGCCAGACTTTAGACGGAGGGAGGTCCTCCTAGCCCGCAGACGAGGTGCACCCTCGGCGGGAGGTGGCACGTTTGTGCAAAGTGCCAGCGGCCACAGCGGCAGGACTATGGCGCCCAAGAGGAACGTGGTGAAGATCGCCGTTCAGAAGTCTGACGCCATCCCACAGCTTATCCAGCTAGACCAGGTCAATGGGACTGTCCGAAAGCCGCCTCCCACTTCTGGGTTGTTCCTTTTCCCTCAGCCAGCCCAGCCCACCCCTCTTAAAAGTCCCTCATCCCAACTCCTTACCCTAGAGTGACAACTCCACTTGCAGGCAAAGCCCCTGGCCACTGTGCTGAAGGAGGTGTGCGACGCGTAAGTGCCGCAGGCCCGGGCAAAGGTGGGGGAGAGCAGGGACAGGTGGGAGAGGCGACCCTGGACTTTCCTTGCTGAGCTTCCTGCCCCACAGGTGGAACGTGCCTCACTCTGAGAGCTATGCCCTGAAGTTCGCTGATGGGCACAAGAGATACATCACAGAGAATGTGAGCCCCCTCCCAGCCCCACACTATACAGGGTCCCTTTAACCCACCTGGGTTTGATTCAATATATTTATTCTCCCTGCTCTGAATGTGAGCTTTTACTGACCCCCCAACAGATGATCCAGTTGACCATTTCCCAGACCCCTCTTTAACTTCGCTCCTTTCTGCTGTTTCCTCCAGAACCGCACCGAGATCAAGAATGGAAGCATCCTGTGCCTCAGCACTGCCCCAGTAATGCCCCTTTCAACCCTCTCCTCCTCCCGCTCCGCTGGGTCCCTCTGCTGCCTAGGGGTCCCTTTACTGCCTAGTGGTCTCTGAGGCGAGTCTGGAGGCCCCAGCTCCTTAGTGCACCACCTAGTGGACACCCAGGCCCTCACACTTCCAGTAACATTCTTGTCTAACCACTTCAATCTCTCTCTACCGCTCCTGCTAGGACTTGGAGGCCCAGCAGCTGCTGGGTGGGCTGCAGAGTACAAATCGTGAAGTGTGCTATCAAGCCCTGAAAAACCTGGTCCCGCTGGCCTCAGACATGACCTTTGCCCAGGAGGTCATCAGCCGTGATGGGCTTCAGAAACTAAGCACCATCATCGAAAATGGGGATGAGTGAGCACAGGGCCGTCTGTGGTGGACTGGGGAACTTAGCAGGACTTGGGAATCTTGATCTGATCCTACTCATCCCCATGTTCTCTGCAGCCTAGGGGAGATGCTGGCCCTTGGTCTAAGGGCTTTCCTGGAGCTCATGGAACATGGTGTGGTGTCCTGGGAGACACTCAGCATCCCCTTTGTCAGGAAGGTGTGTGTCCTCTTCCAGGGGCAGTGGAGCAGTGCCCGTATCCAGCCCTCATGTGTTGGCACTGACACCCTCTGTCCCTTACAGGTGGTATCTTACGTGAACATGAACCTGATGGACGCCTCTGTGCAGCCCTTGGCCCTCAGGCTGCTGGAGAGTGTGACTTTGAGCAGCCCTGCCCTGGGCCAGCTGGTGAAGAGTGAGGTGCCACTGGATAGGCTGCTGGTGCACCTGCAGGTGTAAGCCTCTAGGGTACAGAATGAACGGGGGAAGCAGAACTAGACTCCGGATGTACAGTTGAGCCTGCTCCTCTTCTCGCCGTAGGATGAACCAACAGCTGCAAACCAAGGCTATGGCACTGCTGACAGCCCTGCTGCAGGGGGCCAGCTCTGCTGAACGCCAGGTGAGTGCTCTGTCTGGGGTGCTGCTGTGCTCCAGCTAAGAGCAGAGTCCTCTAAACCCCTTCTCACCCACTGCAGCACATGCTTGACTACCTATGGCAGAGGAATCTTCGCCAGTTCATCTACAAGGTGGGACAGGGCAGGCCCGGGAGACCCTCTCACTGGTCCTCCTTTCTCAGGGAGTCTTACTCAAGCCTGGCTGTCTTCCAGAACATTATCCACAGTGCAGCTCCCATGGGCGATGAGATGGCTCACCACCTGTATGTGCTGCAGGCTCTTACACTAGGGTTGCTGGAGCCACGCATGCGGACACCACTTGACCCCTACAGCCAGGTGCACAGAGGTACAAAGGCTGGAGGGTTCCCTAGAATTTTGTTTTGAACCTGTGATCTTGACATGCTCCTCCCCATTGGCTTCAGGAACAGCGGGAGCAACTGCAGGCCCTGCGCCATGCAGCCTTTGAGCCAGAGGGGGAGTCCTCCGGCACAGGGCTGAGTGCTGACCGCCGCCGTTCTCTCTGTGTCCGAGAGTTCCGAAAGCTAGGCTTCTCTGTGAGTGACCCCTTCCTTAGTCCCCAAACTTCCACCCAGGCTGCAGTTATTCTAGGACCATGGCCCTTCCTAAGCTGCCTGCATTCCCATCTCTAGAACAGCAACCCAGCCCAGGACCTGGAGCGTGTGCCCCCGGGCCTGCTGGCCCTGGACAACATGCTCTACTTCTCCAGACATGCACCTAGTGCATACAGTCGGGTTAGTAACAGAATGGGGCACCGGTGGTGGCAGCAGCCCAGATGCATCAGGGCCTCCATGGAGATCCTGCTGCCGTTCTCTATTCCCACTGCCTTAGTTCGTGTTGGAGAACAGCAGCCGAGAGGACAAGCATGAGTGCCCCTTTGCCCAGAGCAGCATCCAGCTGACGGTGTTGCTGTGTGAGCTGCTCCACGTCGGGGAGCCTTGTGAGTTGAGCTAGATCCAGTGTATTTGGGGTCAGGGGACGGAAGGGCAGAGAGGGCCAGGGGCTGTAGACACTTTCTCCCTGAGCCCCTCCTGCCCCCCCTCTCCAGGCTCCGAGACCGCCCAGGACTTCTCACCCATGTTCTTCAGCCAAGACCATAGTTTCCATGAGCTCTTCTGTGTGGCTATCCAGCTGCTGAATAAGACCTGGAAGGAAATGCGGGCAACACAGGAGGATTTTGACAAGGTGGGTGGGGAGGAGGCAGCAAGGTGCTTCTGGAAAAGGGTCTTGAGCACAGGTCCTATACTGAGCTTGTGAGGTCCTAGGTAATGCAAGTGGTTCGGGAGCAGCTAGCCCGGACGCTGGCACTGAAGCCCACCTCCCTGGAACTCTTCCGAACCAAAGTGAATGCTCTCACCTACGGGGAGGTGCTGAGGCTGCGGCAGACAGAACGTCTGCACCAGGAGGGCACTCTGGCCCCTCCTATACTGTGAGTCTCAGTCTCCACTTTCCCCATTGCCCTGTGGACCATGCTCCAGCTCACCCTGGTGAATGACTCCCACTCTCCATTCAGGGAGTTGCGGGAGAAGCTGAAGCCAGAGCTCATAAGCCTGATCCGCCAGCAGCGTTTGCTCCGACTCTGTGAGGGAATGCTTTTCCGCAAGATCAGCAGCCGGAGACGCCAGGGTCTCTGAATGGGCTAAAGGTGTGTGTGTGGGGGGGGTATTTGTGTTCAGAGCCCCCCTCATCATTCCTCTCTTCCCTTTTCGGCAGACAAGCTGTGGTTCTGCTGTTTATCCCCCAACCATGAAGTATTGCAGTATGGGGATGTGGAGGAGGGTGCCAACCCACCCGCCCTGGAGAGTCTACCTGAGCAGCGTAAGGAGGGCGGGGCTTGGGCTCCTACACCTGTTCTCCCTCTCCCTAGGTCAGCCTTGGGCTATAGTGGTCAGCCAAATCTTCTTTCTACAGTCCCTGTGGCAGACATCAGGGCACTCCTGGTGGGCAAGGACTGCCCCCATGTCCGGGAGAAGGGCTCTGGGAAGCAGAACAAGGTGACTGCGGTAGGGTCAGAGGCTACGCCCCCTCCTATCCCACTCTGCCTGTTCCCTACTCAGTGTCCTTGTTCCCACTCTCCTAGGACCTCTATGAGTTGGCCTTCTCCATCAGCTATGACCATGGGGAGGAAGAAGCATTCCTGAACTTCATTGCCCCCTCCAAGAGGGATGTAAGTTTCTGGGCTGCACTGTTGGGTAGATGGGCAGAGGGAACAGAGAAGCAGGCACTGAGTTGGCCCTGTTCATCCCTAGTTCTACCTGTGGACAGATGGGCTAAATGCCCTGCTGGGCAGCACCATGGGCAGTGAGCAGACTCGGCTAGACCTGGAGCAGCTGCTTACTATGGAGACCAAGTTGCGCTTGTTGGAACTGGAGAATGTGCCCATTCCCGAGCAGCCTCCCCCAGTACCCCCGCCCCCTACCAACTTTAACTTCTGCTATGACTTCAGCATCACTGAGCCTTGACTGAAGTTGGCCATGGGCCACAATGGTGCTGCTGTGGCAACCACAAAGAGGGGTGGAAGTCACAGACAACCTGACCAGCAAAGCCTCTAGCAAAAATAAAATTAGCTTGACTTGTAAGTATGTGTCCAATCAGCTCTGAACCTGTGGGCCAAGGCTGTTGATAAACACAGGTATGAATGATGTAAGGGGCACCAGGTAAGACCACGTGCTCAGGACAGCTAGCTGCCTTTGGAAGGCCGGTGTTGGGTGGAAACAGGTAAGAACTATTGCCCTTCTTGAAATAAGTCCTTAGCGTCCCCAGTTCTGGACATGAAGAGAGGGATGACCTGCCATCTGAGGTAGCAGCCAAAGGAGAGACCGGAATGTGGGCCAACTGAGAAGAGAAGTACCAGGGCAGGACACACTGCCCCAGATGGATACCTTCCTAGGCAAAAGCAACAGCGTCTGTCTGGAAGCCATGCTTTCAGAAGGCTCCCGACAGTCGGCCCTCATTCCCAAGACTGCTTGGCCCTGCCCTTGTTCTATGTAGGATGTGGAAACCTTTGGTGAGAGGCACGAGGGAGAGACGCACAGCTGAAGAAGGCTGTTAAGTCCAAAGGGGTAATCTGCACAGAGAATCGTGATCTAACCATGATTATATGTGAGGTGGTCACAGACAAGCCAGAGTCTGTGTGGGCAGAAGTGCTGAGACATGGTGGGTCCAGCTGGAGTCACAAACTCCAAGCCCCTAAGACAAATAATTCAGCAATCCAGGGGCCCTAGAGGGTAGGCTGAAAGCTACCACTACCCTGAATTACTTCTATATGCCATTCATAGCTCCTCAAATACTGTGCTTAACATGCTCTTCACCAACACTGTGCCTTAAAACTGATTAAATGGCATTTCCTTTAGAAAAAAATGCTAGCAAAACACTTGGCCCTGGGGGGAAAACAAAACAAGTCTACATTTCCCATCTTCAGAGTATCCATGCCTGGACACAGAGCCTTGCTACTACACTTAAAAGAGACTTTTGAGTTTAAGGTAGAAATGGAGGGTAGGGTCCCAGTTGCAGTTAGTGTCCCAATACAGTCAATTCTCCGTACCTTCAGTTACTTGTCCATGCCACCACCACCACCTTGGCAATAACCCCCTGGCTTCTGATCATTTCTGTAGCTGCCATTCCAGCATTGCAAATTTAATGTGATTATATGCTCATACATACACCCTGTGGAGGTATGAATGAGAACGGCCCTCATGGGCTCATGTGTTTGAATGCTTGGTCCCAGTTAGTGGAACCGATTGTGAGGGATTAGGAGGTGTAGCATTGTTGGAGGGGGTATGTACTAGAAGTGGGCTTTGAGGTTTCAAAAGCTCATACCAGGTGCAATCTAGCTTCCTCTCTGCCTGTGGATCGGGAGGTAAAATCTCAGCTACTGCTCCAGCGCCATGTCTGCCTGTCACTATACCCCCCACCATGATGGTCATGGACTAACCCTCTGCAACTGTAAGCCAGCCCCCATTAAATACCTTCTTTTATGAGTACCTTGGTCACAGTATTTCATTACAGCAATAGAACAGTAAGACACATCCTATATTGTTCAATATCTCACTACTGTTCTATTGCCATGGTTACCATGATTGAGTACTGAATTGAGCTGCCAAGTTGCATAGACATGTTTTAGTCCTTCTGTTTTGTCTTCAGGGTTCCTGTTGCCATCAGGGCCTACATACACCCTTCCATACCAGAACCAGCTCCAGTCTGTCCACCTGACCTCTATGCCCCCTTTTGCCTTTTACTGCCTTGATGTCTTCCTTGACCCTAGGTTCCTTGCCCCGGGTGCTAATTCTCTGTTCATGCATCTCCTGCAGACCAGACTGTCCCTGCCTACTGGCTTATTTACCTCCCTATCGAGTTTGGTGATTGAGAGAACAATGACACATCTGAATTCCAACTTGAAGCCCAGTGGCTGCAGGGACTCAGCACAGGCTAGCTGCTTCTAGAACCAATAGACAGACAGACACACAGAGGATCAACTGGATGGACCACCCCAGAGCTGCTACTGAGTCATTGGCACTGATCAGAAGGTTTGGACTCTATGGTCACCTGTGACCCTCCTACTCAGAGATGCTGTCTTGTTTCTTATCCTACTCCAAGACAGCACATGAATCTAGTAAACAGTTGCTTCCAGGTCTGGGTAGGACCAGTGCCTGTAGCAGGGCATGTGTAGAAGTGCTGGGAAAGGCCTCCAAAACCTCCCATGTGAGGAGTCAGTGTGGGGGCATCTGGATGTCTCTGTGTTAACTGAGATGGAAAAGGAAGGGCCCGTTTAATCTGAGAACATCAGAGGAAGACATAAAATCTGGAATTTTTTAATCTTGTTTGGATTTACAATGAAGTTGGCAGATTGACTGCTAAAGCTCAGGAGGGTTGGAAGAGACCCCTGGAGAGCAGACAAAACAGGTCTGAGTGGTAGGCTGGCAGGAGGCACAGAGTTTGCCCTTCCCCAGCACCAGGCCCAGCACCTGTGGCCCTGACCTTTAGAACAGAGCCCATGGAAGCAACGTGCAGCCGAAAAGAGGTTACTGCCATCTGTGGGGTCCTGGATTGGTCCCGTCCTGAGTCTTAGGAAAGGTTCTAGAGCAGGGGAAGGCAGGAGGCCCTAGGGCTAACACAGGTCTGGAGGCCTGGGCTGGGGCTATGCTGGTGAAGGAGGACGAGCTTCAGGGATAGTAACTGACCTGGCTTCAGAGTGTTAGGGTCAGGTCAGCCCCTCCCACGAAGCGAGACTGGATGCAGGTCACCTGAGGGAGCTGCGCTTGGAAGTGCCTGACAGCTGCCATGTTGATGCCAGGACACATGGCCACATCCAACACTCGAAGCTGCTTGCATGCCTGCCCAATGGTATCCAGAGTTCTGCAAGAAGGCCACGGGATGAGTGCTTGAACCGGCGTAGGACCCAAGTCCAGCCCATGCACTGTGGCCCATGTAAGGCCATCAAACACTCACTGCTCTGTGAGCTGACTGCAGCTGGACAGGTTGAGGTGTTGCAGCCTTGGCCAGAACCTGGCTGCCTGAGCCCATCCCTCATCACTGAGATGGCTGCAATGACTCAATGCCAAGCGCTCCAGGCTGGGACAGCCCCTAGCCACAGCCACCAAACCCGTGTCTGTGAGTGCTGGCAGCAGGCTCAATGCCAACTGCCTCAGCTGAGGGAACTGGAGCACCTGCAAGGATAGGGACACAGGATGGCACTGGGACTCAGAGCCTGGACCCTTCCCAGTTCCTTGCTCTACCAGAAACCGAAGAGAAAGGGACTCCAAGAACAAAATGGGTTGGCCCAATCCCCTGGCACCAGCCCCAATGTCCTCAGCTTATTCACACCTTGGCTAAACTGGCATCTGTCAGCTTGCAGCAGGCTGTGAGATCCAACTCCTGCAGGGCCTGAAGCATGAGCAGGGAGGGGCCTCGTGGGTCAGAATTAGGCTCCTGAGGGTCTGGGGCCTGATTTTTCACCTCTTGGTGTAGCTGTGGGAAGAAACTCCCACTTCTTAGGTTCTTCATAAGTTTTGCTAAAGATTCAGGAAGTGCACAGGGCAGCTGAGACCAAGGTCACCTCACCCTCCCTAATTCCAAGGATCTCATACCTGGGAACTTAGCCCAGGCTTCTCACTTGGCTCCTTCAGCCCCAGAAGCCCCCAGTCCTGGAGCTCCTTGCACCAAGCCAGGCGCAGGACTGACAGGTGAATGAGGTAGGTACAGATGGCCTGCATGGTCTGGTTAGTGAGGGCCACACAGGAGGACAAGTCTAGCACCTTGAGGCTTGGGCCCAATGCTGGGATCATGGAAAGCACTGAGGCATCCTAGCAAGAGGACAAAAAAAAAAAAAAGTATCGTTGGGGTCATGAGCAAGTGTCTGAATGAGCACACCATGGTCCCTGTGTTGGTTGTGAAAGTTTGGAGTGAACAGGGTGGGAGACCCAGAGGAGGCTGCTGAAAGACACAAAGGCCAGGACTATGTGTGGTACAAGGAAGGATGTAGATAGGTATCTCTAAGGCAGCTGCTATGCCTGTGCTGTCGAAAGCATGGGCTGAGGCAACACTGATCACAGCCCACTGGACCAGGACAACTGAACCAATCAGAGGTGCTTCCGATAGATTTTGGACCTGAAGCATTAGGGCTGCCACCACCATGAGAAGTTGGGGGCAGCAGGAGCTAAAAGCAAATCAGAAAATCTTTGTGTAGATTCAGAGAGAGCTGGGTGGGCATGAGAACACGAGACCTGGTAGAACAGCTAAGAGACACTAATGGCCAAGGAACTATTAGGCAGAGTGCTTGCCATGAAATGAGGGTGAGACAGGTTTTAGGTCTGGAATGCTCTTGTCATAGGAAAAGGTTAAAAGGATAACAACCCCCCAGCTGACATTTTTCAGACAGGAATGCCACCCATATGGACAATGCTGAGTTCTGTGAAGGACTTGACTTCAGCTAACAGTTAACCTTACAGCTCCCAATTGATCCATCCCAAGGCCCCGCCTACTGAATATCTTCTTCAGTGCAATATAAAACATCTTTTTTTTTTTTTTGGTCTTTTTTCCAGATGGGGTTTCTCTGTGTATCCCTGGCTATCCTGGAATTCGCTTTTTTTTTTAATTTATTTTATTTATTTATTATGTATACAATATTCTGTCTGTGTGTATGCCTGCAGGCTGGAAGAGGGCACCAGACCTCTTTACAGATGGTTGTGAGCCACCATGTGGTTGCCCGGAATTGAACTCAGGACCTTTGGAAGAGCAGGCAATGCTCTTAACCTCTGAGCCATCTCTCCAGCCCCTGGAATTCGCTTTATAGACCAGGCTGGCCTCTAACTCACAGAGACCCGCCTGCCTTTGCCTCCCTCCCGAGTGCTAGGAGTAAAGCCGTGCGCCACCACCTCTGTCACGGTTTGCTATCACTCCTTTTCTCTCGACTTCCTCCCTCTAGAACTCACATACAGTGTGGGATCACTTCATGAAACAGGTCAGAGAGGGCAGTAAAGTCTTGTTCTGCCATATTATCTAAGTTGTTCTCTTCCAGACCACATCCTAAATGTATTTCTAATGACTATCCTGGGACACAAACCCTGGTTAGCCTGTCCCTGAGGCCACAGGCCCAGCTCCCCCAGGTCCCCTGGACAGGAAGGGAGGGAAAGTAACTCACCTTCAGTGAAGAGCAGTAAGCCAGCCTGAGGGAAGTCAGTGCCGGTGGAGCTCTGTGAACTGAGCCTAAGACCTTCGCCAGTTCCCGCCCGCTCACCAGACAACACTCAGCCATGTCCAGGCTCTGCAGTTTGTGCAGGGCTCCCAGGGCTGTACAACCTGCATCAGTCAGTCGCTGCAGTTTCCGCAGACTCAAGTGCCGCAGGTGTCGCAGGCCTCGACTCACAGCCAAGAGTGCCCCGTCAGTCAGTTCTGAGCAACCACTGAGGTCCAGGGAAGTAAGGCCGGGCTGCTGGCGGCACAGAGTGGCCACGGCCTCTGAGGAGAGGTCTCTACAGCTATGCAAGCTCAGTTCCTCCAGGTGCAGTCCAGTCACTTGGCCCAGGGCTTGTAGGGCCTCAGGTGGCAAGCCAGTACCACTGAGGTCTAGGGCACGCAGCCTACCAGCTCGCTCTTTGACAAACTGGAGCAGGTTGTGGAAGGAAAGCTGGGAGGGAGAGGACGCCTGGGGGCTAATGGAGCCCCAGGTTGGGCCTAACTCAAAGGTAAGATGGCAGTAGGCCAAGGAGAGGCGCTCCAGGCTGGGGAAACAACCGCTGAGATGGTTGAAGCTAAGGTCAGTCAGGTTACGCAGGCTAGCCAGGTTAAGATCACGAAGGCCACTCAATGCCTTCCGAACACACCGTGCTGTCTTGGGCTGAGCCAGCAGAGTGCCTGATGTGAAGAGACTGTTGCAGCCACTGAGGTCAAGGGTGCGCAGGGCTGGGCATCCCAGGATCAAGGCCAAGAAGGATGCCTCTGTGGGGCTGCCCCCTCCCAGGCATAAACTCTCCAGGTGTGGGCCTAAGTGGTAAGCAACAGACTGCAGTACCTGGTGCGAAGCTGGTGAGCCATCCAGGTTGGTCAAGCTGATGCATGAGATGCCCCTGAGGCCCAAGCTCTTGATTGCTGAGAGTGAGGCAGAGGACACAGGAATGTTGTACCGCACATTTGTCTATAGGGTAGCAGCAGGCCTGAGGTTAGAGTTCTCAGAGGCTGAAGACAGTCAAGAAAGGCCCTTCTACAGTGAACACCCATCCCTGGTGTGTATGTCATGTCATGTGTAGCCAAGAAGGGTGTAGGCAGAAAGTGGGAGCTGGGAAGAGAAACAGAGTGGGAAGCAGGAAGACGAATCATGCTGAGATCTGGAAGGAAGTGACTATCAGGCCAGCAGGAAGGTGAATGAAGAACAATGCTAGATGCCCACAGAGGGGCAAGGATTGAGTGGGGGAGTTGGCAAACTGAGCACAGGAGGGTTTTGACCTATAGGACACCCAATGATGCCTTCATGGAGTGGGAGGACACAGAATGCCAGATCACAATCTGTTTTGTTGTTGTTTTAATTTTGAGACAGGGTTTCTCTGTAGCTTTGGAGCCTTCCCATAACTCGCAGTGTAGACCATGATGGCCTCGAACTCACAGAGATCCTCCTGCCTCTGCCTCTCGGGTGCTGGGACTAAAGGCGTGCGCCACCACCGCCCGGCTGCAGTGTCAGATCTTAAGATCTGCAGACCCAGTCGGGATCTCGGCACTAGTTAAGCAGTCGGCCGCCCGGCTTCCCAGAGAGGGTATAAACAGCACTGCGAGGACGGGAAGGAAGGAAGGAAGCAGGTGTCACTCAGTTTCTTGTGATCCAGGTACCAGAGGTCTGGAATAAACACCACGGTCTAGTCCCCTGGGGGCCTGAGTGCCTCAGCACACAAATATTGGCAAAAACGATTGTGTGAACAGAGGTGTATGCACATACATGTGTGCAAGTGTATTCCAACATGTGTGTGCACATACATGTGTGTGCACGTGTATCCCAACATGTGTGCGCACATACATGCGTGTTCCAACATGTGTGTGCACATACGTGTGTGTGCATGTATTTCGACATGTGCGCGCGCACACGTGTGCACGTATATTCCAACATGTGTGTGCACATACATGTGTGTCCACATGTATTCCAACATGTGTGGCTGCCTGCAACACCTGAATCACATCTCTGCAGGCGGCAGAAGCTAATATAAATCCCAGAGAAGCCAAGGAACTTAAGCTGGGCTTGCTTGGCAGAGGAAGAGCAGTTCATGGTTGGAGTAGGGGTGCAACCCAGGAGTCAAGTTCAGGTTTAAGATGTAGCAATACAGCCGGGCAGTGGTGGTGCACACCTTTAATCCCAGCACTGAGGGAGGCAGAGACAGGCGGATCTCCATGAGTTCAAAGCCAGCATGATCTACAGAGGGAGTTCCAGGACAGGCTGAGATAACAGAGAAACTCTGTCTCAGGGAAAAAAAGAATGTGGCAATATGATGGCTTTGGCAGCATATTGGGAAAACCCAACTAAGGGAAATGTTTTTCATAGAACCTTCCCTGCTCTCATGCCAAAAGGAGTTAAAGGAGAAGTCAATACAATCTGTATGGAATAGGCCTGTAGCAGAGAAGAGGACACCTGCACTTCCAACATCCTATCCACTAGGTCAGGGATGCAGCTCAGGGCTTATCTAGCATGTGTGAAGCCGATTTACATCTTCAGAAAAAAAATCCACCTAGTCCTTTCCCTACCTGTTGCCTAGGTAGCAGGAACATGTTCTTTAAGAAGCCTTTAGCTTTATCATCAACAGGGCTCTGATGCAGGAAAGCTAGTAAGGTCTGGAAAACACCTTTGTCAGCAACAACAAAAATACCATTTTCCTCTGTCTGACTCCGTCAGAATAGCACCAAGAGGACATGGAAAGGCAGCACCGACACAGGCAGTCCTGCAAACTCCAGCACTATCCTCCAAGCCAGCACACAACCCATCCCTAGACACGGGGAACAGACTGGCTTCTTCCTCAGCAGAAATGCCCCCCATGACTGTCGTGGTGGGAAGGATAGGTAAGAAGCAAGAACTGGGGAGCTGAAAATGTAGCTCAATTGGTAGAATAGTTGGTTGTCTAGCACAAAGCCCTGGGTTTGACACATGGCATTACAGAAGCCAGTATTTGAGGGGTAGAATCAGGAAGATCAGAAGTTCTAGGTCATTTTTTGCTTGAGACCAGGCTGGGCTACATGAAACCCTGTCTCAAAGAAAAGGAGCAAATAGGGACCACCTCATGTTCTCTCTCACAGGAATCCCTGTGATCCCTTTCCTGATCCTGCTTTGAGACTGTGGTTGTTCCCTGCTTCCCACAAGAGGAGATTCCCTTCAGATCCCCTTACTAGAGGGTAGTGGAGACTCCTGAGGGTCTGTCTGGGATTTAAGGAGAGCTGGGAGATGATCCCAGTGTGAAGGGCTGGGAAAAGAGATTAAAAGGTCTGACAAGGAAGACTATAGAAGGAAAAGTGAAAGCAGCCTCCAGCCATTGAGAAGCCCATGCACCATGTGGATCAGTCTGAATAAACTAGAGCTGGAGGAGCTAGGAGCAGCTCAGTTACCCAGGCAGCGCCCGCCCCCACCACTCATTTAGCCACAGAGCCTCTGTGCTAACAGCTACAAGCACGAATGAGCTTAGCTTCCATCCCTTTCTGAGAGCTTGAGCAACCAGGAATGTTCTTCCATTTCCAATCACCTCTCTGTGAACAAGGTAGACAAACAGTCAAGAGAATGTGCTGGCAACCACCCACAGTACAGTCCACAGTTGGCAGCCACAAGACAAACAGGCAGGGCCTGGCCCAGAGACTTTCCAGATACTGGGGCAGATACTTGAGACCATACCTGGCCCCTGCTGTCTCAGGCTATCCCTGAAGCATCTATGGCAGGAGATGACCTTGAACTTCTGATTAGTTTCCACCTCCCAAGTGCACGGATTACAGGCCTGCATCACTACTGTTAGTTTCATGTAATACTGGGAATCAAGCCCAGGGCTGAGTATAGGCTAGGCAAGTACTCAACTGAGTCACATCCCCAGTGACCCCTGACCATTGTTAGCCAAGCCTTGAGCCCTTTACACAATGGTCAACCTGCTCCTGAGGTCAGCTGGATGTAACTGCAAGACCAAAGGGCAGCCTTTGAAAAAAAAATTTTAATGTAAGTAAAGAATGCTTACTCCTTTGAGGGGCAGGTGCAAGGAGGGCTCCTAGGTTCTGGACTTTGGCCTTTTCCAGGCCCTAAGAAACTGCTTTTGGAGGCTTGAGGGAAGACTAGAAGGTACCTGCTCCAGCTTCAGCCACTCCACCCACAGATGGCAAAGGAAGCCCTTGCTCTCCTTTCCCCATGTTGGCATCTTATGAGCAGCTGCTGTCACTCTAAGTGTGCCTTGACTGTGGAGATCAGCACCTAGTGCAGCCTCACAGCCAGACAGCAGGCTTGTGCACAGGCTTGGAGAGCCGTCTAGGAGTGAACTGCTTCCCTCTGCTTAGAACAGGGATCCAAAAACTAAGGTACTCGTTTTCCTTTCCGAAAACTGCAGTGAAATACAACTCTGGTGCTCAGCGGTCCTGCTCTCTGGAGACAGTTAAATACTTTGGACAGGACGAAAGCAGTGGGAAGAATTAGAACTGCTCCACAGTGACCAATCCAATGGTGACCACCCAGGACTTCCAGGATACCAGGAAAAACATGGAGCACGTGGGGCACTGCCTTTTCATACAGCATTATTTGGGATACACTAGGATTACATGAACAAAATGGGGAGGACAAGAAGAAGTCAAAGTCACATTATCCAGGTATCCTAGCCTGGCTTGGAAGACTTAGTTCCAGCTTTGTCTTAGTTGACTGCTATCTTCCATAGTATCAGTGGCTGGTGACGCTGCCTCCTGCTCCATCTGCCTACATCTGAGCCCTAGAGGATAGGCTCTTGACACTATTCTCTGGGGAATAATAGTGGTGAAGTAGGGACAGGACCCTAGATGTCTGTGCACCTATAGCTTTGCCTTCCAAGGCTCTCAGTCTAGAGAGGTCTCTGTCAGTGTGATCTGGAGCTCCCAGTTAGCTGCGGCAGTGCCAGCCCCACAACAGTGGCCTCTAAGATCTCAGCCACAGATCCAAGGTCCCTCTTCCTTCCCTCCTCGCTCTTCTCATCCCATCTCACCTATACTCAGGAGCCTGACCACCCCTCCATCCTCTTCTTGGTGGTCTCTATGAGACTGCTCTCTCCTCAAGGTTTGTAGTCTTCCTCCCTCATGCTGCTGTGCTGACTCTTCTTGCCCAGCCAGATAACAAAACCAGCTGCCTACTTGCAGTCTGAGCTGGAGATAACAGCACACTGCTGAAGAAGCCATGGCCTGCCCTATACCGCATCCTCCCTGTCTCCCTTCTCCCTTCTCTGAGCCTGCTGCAGAAGCTTCTCTGCTCCTAGCCTTCTTGAAATGGCCGGTCCTTTTTTTCTTTTCTTTTTTGGTGCACACCTTTAATACCAGCACTTGAGAGGCAGAGACAGGCAGATCTCTGTGAGTTCAAGGCCAGCCTGGTCTACAGAGTGAGTTCCACGACAGCCAGGGTTTCTTTCTACACAAAAGAAACCATCTTGAAAAAAAGAAATGGCCTGTCCGGCTTCAAAAAGCAACCGAAGCCATCAAGTGGGAAGTACCTTCCTGTTTGCTAACTGGCTCCCGGTAGAACCCTACCCCTGACTCCTAGCCTTTGGGTTCAGACAGTCCTTTCTTCTGGCTTGCTGAGCTGTCCCTACCTCATCTCATGGGAATCCAGCTCTTTTTGTCTTTATATTGGTCCTTCCATTTTGGGGGAAAGGGTCTGGCTATGCAGTTCAATCCAGCTTTGAATTCATTATGTAACCCAAGATGGCCTTGTGATCATAGCAATCCTCCTGCTTCAGTCTCCTGAGTGCTACAGTACTTTTTCCTATCTCTCCTTTTTCTATTTCCAGTTTTCCCCTGGGAAGTATGAGGAAACACTGCCAGGCTACTCAGTTACCTTTGACCTTATCTGTTTACTCCTTCCTGCCAGAATCACTCAGGCCTGATCACAGCTCCCCTCCAGCAAGTCACTACCACGTGGGGGCTTCTCTCCCGCCTCTCACAGCCTCCTCTTTCCCATGCTGCCTGCCAGGGAAGGGCGTTAGCCATCAACCTTGTCTCACTTCCAATGTACCCCTGGCTCTCCTCTTGCCTTTTAGCCTGCTTTTCACTGTCTCTCTGGAGTCATCGAAAGACAGACCCAGACCAGACCACATGAGTAGTTTCACCCTGCCTTCTCTGCCTAACAACACATACACATGCACAGCCTTTGTCCTCTTCCCTGCGCTCTGTCACACTGGACATCCTGTGGGGTAATACAGCTTCCCTTTCCTTTCTTTCGTACATGGACATGTGGTGTACGAGTGTGGGGTAAGGCTGTGTGTGGCAGCCAGGGGAGGACATTAGGTGTCTTGCCCTATCCCTCTTTGCCTTATTGCCTTGAGACAGAGTCTCTCATTGAACCTAGAGCAGCCAGCAAGCCCCACCGATTCTCCTGTCTGCACGGGGCCGACAGGAGAGGCTGTGCAGGGGCACTCTTACGCACTCTCCTGAGTCATCTCTCCAGGCCTATATTCTTCTCTTTTTGTTTTATGAAACAGAATCTCGCCCAGGTAGAACTCTAACTTGCAATTTTTCTGCTTGAGTTTACCAAGGGCTGAGATTACAGACATGTGCCACCATGCCCGGCCCCAGCTCCTTTCTGATCCATATTATTCTCCTCCACCAGACACTGGAGATCAACTGCTTCACGGACCTCTCTAGAAACCCTGATGCAAGATGTCCAGTTCTGAACCACATCTACCCCCACATCTGCTTGGCTCCTAAACCCTGACCACCCTTGTTCCAGCTACCCTCACTCTTACCCATAGTGCCCCTTGAGATACTGAGAGGTATCCCAACCGGGCGTGGTAATGCACCTTGAACTCCTGGCCTTCCTGTCTCTCCCTCCCAGTGCTGGGACTGCAGGCATGAGCCACCACATTCAACAGGACAGCATACATTATGAGCACTGTTTGTTCTTTACTCTGCCCATCTCTCTGGCATTTTACATCAGTACTCATCCATAGGGCGTTTAAAATGCTCTCCAGTCCTGGTCCGCTGTTCTTCTATTCATTATACCTTGCCCTGGGGTGCAGTTACTCAGATTTGGGGCTTTACTTCCATCCATTTTTTTCTCCAGTTCTGGGAATCAAACCCAGGGCATTATACATTCTGGTCAAGTTCTCTACCACTGAGCTACACTCCTGCCCTACTCACTCTTTAGTTACACCGGGGCCTATATTTATTACCCATACCTTTCTCTTGAATTTCTCACACAGATATTCATTGATCAACTGAGTCTTGCCATCTGGCTATCTCACACTCTAAATTTTTCAACAAGTCCAAAATGAAATTCCTTCAGATATTAAAATTCATGACAGCAGATCAATAATCCAGCAACAGGCTCTACTTACACATGTACACTTGATATGTACCAGAGGAGGTTTCCAAACTGACAGGGAAGATTACATGGGAATGATGTAGGAGCTATTTGAAAACCAAACAGATCAGCTTCACACTTTATCATACAAATTACAATAAGTTTCATGAATAAAACACAATTCTCACCAATAAAAGGTAAAGCCAATCCAAGTGTGGTGGCTCATGTCTGTAATCTAAGCCTCAGAAGGCTGAGGTTTGTGGTTCATAGCTAACCCGCACAACACTGTAAGACCCTATCCAAAGAAAGTAAACTTAAAAAAAAGAAAACAAAACATTAAAACCATAACAGAAATAATTTATTTTTGTTGAGCCAATCACTACTCTAGAATAAAAATATGAGCATGCATTGATGAATCTCAGACGGGCCAGGGATCTTTAAAAAACCATGGAAGAAAAAGAAAATAATCAACAACATAGAAGTTTAATTTCTATATCTCATAAATAAAACAGTTATCTACAAATAAAATGAAAGAGCAAACATATCAGAAATATATTTTGACAAATATATAAAGAATTAATCTTTGCATAAAAAGTTCATAAAAATGGGCAAGTAACCCTACCAGTTAAGTATATAAAGAACAAAATTGCTGACAAGGAAAAGGAAAAAAATTAATCTCACTGATAATTAAATCAAAATCAACACAAGACTGGCTGGGCTGCCTCCAATACTCAGTCTCACAGCTTGAACACAACAGTAACCGGGAGAAAGCCTGAGCTCTGCTACCTGCATATCTACCACCCTGCAACCCTGACCATGGTCTAGTCTCCTCTCCTACCATATCCCCACATAAAACTCAATCCTGACTATGGTCTAGTCTCCTCTCCTACCATATCCCCACATAAAACTCAATCCTGACCATGGTCTAGTCTCCTCTCCTACCATATCCCCACATAAAACTCAATCCTGACCATGGTCTAGTCTCCTCTCCTACCATATCCCCACATAGAACTCAATCCTGACCACGGTCTAGTCTCCTCTCCTACCATATCCCCCAAATAAAACTCAATCTAGTTATTTGGAATTTGTGTGACCATTGTGTGAACTCCACACCTTGATGCCAGTTCTAGAAGACCAACATGTATTGTTCTCCTGTTCTCGCAGGCCTTTCCTGATACACCTGGACGATCTCACTGGGGTGCCCTTGTCTTTGTTTCCCCTTTTCATTGAGTGCTATGGTTCTGAACAGACAGTACCACAATCATTCATGCTATCTTTTTCCTTCATTGGACAATATGCTCCTTAGGGAGACTAGGTTTTATTCACCTATACACCCCAAGCTCTGTACCCCAAGGCTAGTATGTATTAATGTATGAGTATATATGGATGGATGGATAGATGATACAGAAGCAGGGCCAAGAGCAAGTTGAAGTGAGGGACAATTCAGAATGAGTCAAGTGAGGTGGGTACCTTACCTCCCGAAGGGCATTCTGGGCTGCACAGTACCAAGCCCGATTCACGAGGGAGGCCTCTTTCTGATCTGACAGAGGTAGGAAGCTCAGGATATATGTGAGCATCTGGGGGGAAAAGACAAGGTACTTGAGGGCTGTTAGAACTGGAAGGCCTTTAAAACCCAAGGGCATCAGAGCGCTAGCTTCTAATCCAGCTTGGATCCAAAGCTTCAGGAGATGTTGACTTCCCTTCTCCAGCCTCCAGGAGATCTCATGAGAATGAACCTAACATGAGCCACTTCCGAGTTCAGGTTTGTACCAAGTAAGAAGAATAAGAATTCATGCTCAGGGCTGGAGAGATGGCTCAGCGGTTAAGAGCATTGCCTGCTCTTCCAAAGGTCCTGAGTTCAATTCCCAGCAACCACATGGTGGCTCACAACCATCTGTAATGAGGTCTGGTGCCCTCTTCTGGCCTGCAGGCATACACACAGACAGAACAATGTATACATAATAAATAAATATTTAAAAAAAAAAGAATTCATGCCCAGTTTGGTAGAAACAGACTGGGCACTGGAGCCAGACAAACCTAGGAGTTTCCACTTGGCTGACTCCTTGAGCCTTGTTTTGTCTGTGAAATGGCAAATGTGCTGAGATTTACATAGGTTCTTGTGAGAAGTTACAAAACACAGCACTTTCCATAGATCTAGAACATTAGTCAAATCCTACTCCTTTTTTTTTTTTCCATTTAGACAGGGTTTCACTATGTATCCTAGGCTGTCCTGGAACTCACTATGTACCCAGCCTGGCTTATACCTAGCACAGCCTTCTCCTGCCTTAGTAGAGTTATATCCCATGTGATAGAAGTGTGGTGTCAGTCATGATGCATGGCCTTGGGAGCCCTATTCTTCCCCCATCTTCTCTATTATCAGCTAGTTTTCTCAGCTAGCTGTTAAGGTAGGACAATACTGCAAGTTTTGGAGACTCTACTCTTCCCTCCAACTATGCTCTGTGAGTCTGTAAGTGGTAAGGTTGGTGGCTCTAGCTGGGGCAGAGGAAGGGGTCACTTGGGAGGCCAGGAACAACTTTCTATTAACTGTCCTTTTCTTTTAGAAACTTTCCTCCTCAAGGACTACGACAATGTTTGCTAAGCCTTTACCAAGCGAGCTGCCCTATTTCTGGATTCTCCACGACTCCCAAGGTTTAATCTTTTGATTTATGTTTACTTATATGAGAACAGTCAACTATTTAATGGTTTTACATTGTCAGGTTAACCAAGCATTGGTCTCGTACCAGTTGTCTACCGGGTCCAACACTCAAAGAGTTCTCAACCTTAATCTCAACTCCAATTGTTATTTTTTTGCCCTCGGTCCAACTTTACTCTTTACTGCAGCCTAAACTCCCAATCTGAGGCCCCAAGTGACACCTGGACTCATGGTCTTCTATTCTTTATTCTTAAAACTGAAGTTTCAGCCGGGCAATGGTGGCGCACGTCTTTAATCCCAGCACTCGGGAGGCAGAGGCAGGCGGATCTATGTGAGTTCGAGACCAGCCTGGTCTACAGAGCTAGTTCCAGGACAGGCTCCAAAGCCACAGAGAAACCCTGTCTCGAAAAACCAAAAAAAAAAAAAAAGAAAGAAAAAAAAAAACCTGAAGTTTCAGACAAGGCTAACCCAGATTCATCAAATCCTAGCTCCACTACTTTCTGCTGAGTAACTCCAAAAGACACGACTTCTCTGAGCATCAGTTTCTATATGTATGAAATGAAGACATTTAAAAATAACCTAGATCAGCCTTATAGGGACTAGATGGTCCATAAGTGGTTGCCAGGTGGCTGCTATTAATCCTTCAACCTTAGCAACTTCACCATCTTACTAGCTCCAAAAGTTATCCCCCTAGACCTAGATTCCTTGTACAGCCTCCTCGTTTCTACATCTGTTCTTGTTAATCCGTTCTATACAGTCACAGAGTTAATTTCCCAAAAGCTTGTTTCCACTTTCACTATCCCTTCTGGGTTTCCCAATAATCTCAGAACAAAATCCCCGCTCCTGGTTCAACACTGCCAGGCCTCCATACCGGGCTGGGTCTGCTGGTCCCAGAACATCCCCAGTCCATCCTCCCTACCAATAGAGCAAGTCTATTTGCTTTTCCTTATGTGAGGCTCTTTCTGGGAAGTCCTTCCGAAGTGACTTCGCTAGCTCATTGTGCTCTCTCCTCTTTTCAGAGGCTAAGTCCATAGGCAGTACTCCGCCAGTATTTACTGGGTTAAAGATGAGAGTTCTTTACCTCTACTTTCACCAAAGGTTTGCTCAGGGGAGGGGTGGGAGATGAAGCAGATTATTATTGTAGGGAGAATGACTAGGACCAGAGAGGAGAGGCATGAGGAAGAGTGCTGATGGGACTGGACTGACCAAGTCCCCATCCTTAGAGGACTAGGAGGGAAGACTGGGCTACCAGAGCGGCTGACCTATCTTCTCTGGGAAGATCAACCCCGGGAGCAAAGAGCAAGGGATACGTGTCTTCAAGGGGAGGGTCATAATTCATTACGCTGAGAAAGGAGTAACCTCTCTAGTATTAAAGGAGGTAGAGATGGGCTGGAGAGATGGCTCAGAGGTTAAGAGCATTGCCTGCTCTTCCAAAGGTCCTGAGTTCAATTCCCAACAACCACATGGTGGCTCACAACCATCTGTAATGGGATCTTGTGCCCTCTTCTGGCCTGCAGGCATATACACAGACAGAATATTGTATACATAATGAATAAATAAATATTTTTTTTTAAAAAAAAAGGAGGTAGAGATAAGGGTGGAGTGGCCACCCCACGAGCCCACCCCAAGGGACTACTACTGGTCACCCATGGGATATACAGGGATGAATGGATAACCTCTGGAACAAAAAGGGAATGGGATGTCATTGCAGGCTCTACTCCTGCTAAGGAGAGGGCGCATTCTAGGATTCATGGAAAAGTGACCTGACTTTCTTGGATAATGGGAGGGGGCTGTCAATCCCCAGGGCAAAAGGGATAGAGAAGCCATCTCTAAAAAGGCACAAGACACATAAGCCTGTACCTGCATCTTCTTGCCAATGAGAGCAGAGCAGTCTTTTCCCCTGGCTAACGGAACAAACATCCCATGGAGTGAAAAATACAGGGGCAGCCATCACTAGGACGAGGAGTAGGCATGTCTTAGATTAACGACCTCGGCGACTGTCCCCAGAATTGATGGGGAGGATGCAGTCTATTTCCAACTGCGAGGACGATGGGGGAGGGGCAGAGGAAAAGGAGCGACCATTCCAAGGGGCCAACCGGGATAAAATTGATTACCCTTCAGGGATGGTAGAGCGGACATCTTCTAGAACTGAGGGGGAGGGGACGGCCATCTCAAGGAAAGGAGATGGGTAGAGAGTCTGTCCCCTGAAGTGACAGAGCAGCCATCTTCTGAGGTCAGTGGGGAAGGAGAGGATGGTATCCCAACCGAAGGGGTCGAAGTGGCCCCAATGCGGGCTGTTACCCAGAGTTTGCAGGTCCTGGGATCCGCCGGGCGGCTCGTTTCCGCCAGGCGGGAGGTGCCGGGCGAACTGTCAGACAGCCCTTCCCCAAAGCTCCGGACCCCGAAGGCGGGGCCTGTCCCCGACCCAGGCCTGAGGACCGCTTCCTCTCACCTCCAGGGGCAGTGAGTCCGCCATCGCATCTCTGCCGTCTCCGCCCCCGCGCACAGCTTTCTGGGAAGTGTAGTCCCCTCGCTTCTGGGGCGGGACCTGAGAAGGAAATGGAATCCACTTCCGTCCAGAATCCTGACGACGTCGGTCTGTACCGGAAGTGCATGGGCTGCCGATGTGGTGTCTACTGACTGCAGTTCCAGATACTCGCCCTTGTTTCCGAGGCAGGGTATTTGTTTCGCACCATGGCGGTAAGGAGGGTGGGTAGGGCGGGGTCCACACCGGCAAAGCATTCCCGGTGTTGGGAAAGTAAAAACAGGAAGGACATGAAGGCATAAGGCACTGGGCCAGAGAGGAGCGGCCATCCAGTGGACTGTGCTAGAGCCGAGTGGGTTGCGGGGAGAGTAGCAGCGCAGGAATATACCAGAACTAGTGTTGGATGCGGCGGGGCGCGGGGGAGGGGGTGCAGTTGTCAATTCCAGATTTGAGCTATTCCCCCAGAGGCTGGAGAGGGACGCCATTAAGTTCCACTGGAGTTCCCCCGGGGAGGTCCTCAGCCCATACCTGAACCTTACCAGGAGAGCCAAAGAAGATATTAACGTAGTTTGTGGATTGTTTGAGGGAGAGAGAGCATTAGGCAATTATAGCAGGGGGTAGTGTAAAGATGGTGTCTTCACTGTAGAGGGAAGATGGACTAGAGGAGTGGTAGGCATCTCAGGGATTGAGGCAAAAAACCCCACTGACAGCATCTCATCATCCCTCTGCAGCCCAAAGGCAAAGTGGGTACAAGAGGGAAGAAGCAGATATTTGAAGAGAACAAAGAAACTCTGAAGTTTTATCTGAGGATCATACTGGGAGCCAATGTAAGTTGCCTGCCTCGTGTTTTCCACGCCCTTTAATAGCTCTACTGTCCTCAGACCTGTCTGATTAGGAGTGCTGGTAAGTGACAGTCGAGGATGGGAACTTGAAGTTTGCTTTGGTCTACATAGACACCTCATCTCAACAAAAAAAAAAGGTGGGGGTGTGGGGGGGAAATGAGAAGCCGGCCATAGTAGTATGTAACGGCACTTCTAGCTACTTGGAAGGCTGAGGCCAACAAAGCAAGACTAAAGTCTCCAGGAAAGAGAAGTGAGAACAGAAAGTGCAGCTCAGTGGCCGAGCCCTTGTCTAGGTTTGATCACCTGCACTGCACACACACACACAAAGGCTTGATCACCAGCACTGCACACACACACACACACACACATACATACATACACCCACCAAGTATCCCGGGGCTGAGTGGTTAAGGGCACTTGGTGCTCTTGCAGGGGACCTGGGTTCCATTCCTAGCACCCTACCCAACTACATGGTAGTTCACAACCATCTGCTCCAGGAGATCCAGTGCCCTCTTCTGACCTCTATGGTACCTGGCACAATTGTGGACACGTGGTGCACACGCATACACACAGGCAAAACACTCATGCATAAAATGTATCTTAAAACATTTTTTAAAAAGCAGCCAAGAGCCGGCAGGTAGTGGCACACTGACCTTTCATCCCAGCACTCGGAAGCAGAGGTAGGCGGATCTCTGTGAGTTTTGAGGCCGGCCTGGTTTACAGAGTTTACAGAGCAAGTTCCAGGATGGTCAAGGCTGTTACACAGAGAAATCCTGTCTTGAAATACCAAAAAGAAGAAAAAAAAGAAAAAAAGTGCCAGGCACAGAGGAAGTATAAACTAGAACTGAAAGCAAAACATAAAGAAGCAGGGAGTCCAGTTAGGTTTGACTGTCCTCACTCTATACTAAGGTCTTTTCCTGGACTATCATGGGTATAACAGTTGTCTGACTCAGGAAGCAGAGCCCTTTACCACTTGGTTTCCTCCATAGTCTGGCCCAATTCTTGGTCAGAGTTGAGGAAAGCCCATAATTTGGGGGCAGCTTTCAACCCCACCTCCTGTGTTTGCTTGCAGGCCATATACTGCCTCGTGACCTTGGTTTTCTTCTATTCATCTGCCTCATTTTGGGCCTGGGTAAGCATCCCTGTTGGGGGATATTCGCTCACACTGTGAATCCTGAGTTTGCTTTTGCATTAATTAAATAAAATTGACTGTGGGCCAGGAGGTTGAGTTAGTAACTAGTTGACAAAAAAAGTCATCCTAGAGCATCAGAGGGCATCCGGGAGAGATAGAGAGACATACCAGGAGGAGTAGGGGCAGATTTGGAGTTTTGTGGCTTTTTTTTGTTTGGCGGAGCTGAGGGAAGCTCTTGGGAAAGGTTAGTTAGCTGCTACTCAACCTTTCTGAGCTAGCAGGTTTTCACCACAGCCTTTGAGTCTCACGTCTTATTTATAATTAGAATGAGGCCAGGCAGTGGTGGCGCACGCCTTTAATCCCAGCACTCGGGAGGCAGAGGCAGGCGGATCTCTGTGAGTTCGAGGCCAGCCTGGTCTACAAGAGCTAGTGCCAGGACAGGTCCAAACCTACAGAGAAACCCTGTCTCGAAAAACCAAAATAAATAAATAAATAAATTAGAACGATAGAAAATTAGTTAAAGCTGCATTTAGTGACAGCAACAGAGCTGCTGCCTACAAGAACAGAATTCCCACCAGGCTGTGGCCTGGCCAGGGAAGCAGGCCAGTAACTGTGGCATCCCAATTGCTCGCTGAAATAGCAGTAGATTAAGGTGCAGCCACCGTGCCAGAATTAAAACAACATATCCCCATACTGGAAAGTAAACGAGTGCCCAGGGTCAGTGCCTAGCCTCTGGTACTCTTTTTCTTGTTTTACAGATGGCCCTGGGGTTTAGTTTGGCAGTATATGGGGCCAGTTACCATTCTATGAGTTCCATGGCTCGGGCAGCCTTCTCTGAGGACGGGTCCTTGATGGATGGCGGCATGGACCTCAACATGGAGCAGGGCATGGCAGAGTGAGTGTCCCCCATCGCCAGCCCAGGTGAGCGGCCCCAGGGCTGGGGCGCTGGGGCCCACACAGCCCAAGACTCACAACTACTTTGAACTTGAACAGTATGGAAGGGGGTAGAACTAGGGCCAGTCTACTATCCTTGGCAGCCTTCCTTCTATCCACAGGCACCTTAAAGATGTGATCCTACTGACAGCCATTGTTCAGGTGCTCAGCTGCTTCTCCCTCTACATCTGGTCCTTCTGGCTTCTGGTACGTGCGTGCGTGGGCTGGAGGGCTGGGCCTCTAAAGAAAGCTTAGTCAGCACCCTTCCCCCACCCCCAATTCTTTCATTCTTTGCTAGTCTTTGCAACTGGCTTCAAGTAACCTTTTGTGTCCTAGGCTCCTGGCCGGGCCCTTTACCTCTTGTGGGTAAATGTGCTGGGCCCCTGGTTCACAGCAGACAGCGGAGCCCCAGCACCAGAGCACAATGAGAAACGACAGCGCCGACAGGAGCGGCGGCAGATGAAGCGGTTATAGCCATCATTATTGTGCCCACAGACTGCTAAGCACTGGCTGGTTCTATCAGGCTGCATGGCCCCATGCCTGGAGCAGTGAAGGGCCAAAAGTAGCCTGAATTATGAAATATAGTATAACTAAATAAATTGTTTAGAATGTGGCTGATGGCTGTGTGGATGATAATATACAAAGTAGGAAAAATTAGTCCTATATAACTTCTTTCTTGGCTCAGCTAGGCAGTGACTTTCGAAGAGGAAAAAGGCTCTTGGATTAGCTAGGTAAACTTTATTATTTTGTTCCAAATAGGGAACTCGCACATGCAAAATACATGTGCATACACACACACACACACACACACACACGCACACACGTGCGCACGCGGGCATGCACACACAAACACACACACACACATCTAATACTGCTCACAATACTGGTTCCCTGGGTGCAGGCTTCTGAACCAGATTGCTACTCCAGGCCCTCTTTGTGCTCAGTCTCTTGTACTGTAGCTGTATCCAGATAGATTTCCCGGTGGTAGCATGCTCACACCTCCAGGCCAGGAGCTTTGCTTAGTCCCAGTGCCTGCACCAGGTCATCTCCAAGCCCGCTCTTCAGTGTCCGTCTCACTGCAGTGACAGAGCATGGTCACAGGTTGGCGGGGGAGTGTTGGGAATGGGGGGTCAGTGGGCTCATAAGGGGATACTCACAGGACTTGCGGTTGCCACGAGAGCGCTTCCTTTCCCGAGCAGCTAAGGCTCTAGGACTGCTCTTGGTAACCGACTGCACCAGCAGATCCATTATCTCATCAGATGTATCGCTGGGTAAACTGGAACCCGAAGTCTCCTCAGGGGATGGAGTGGAGGGCCCCACTGCTGTGTGTGCGACAGGGGAGCTGCTCTGGACCATGCCTAAGGGAGACCAGGGAAGAAAATCAGGCTAGGGTAGATTAGAACACATTCCCCTAGCAGCTGCTACAAACCCTACCTCTGCTGCGCCGGCTATGCGTGGTGTCTTCTGGCCTGCTGGTAAGCAGACTCTTCATACTGGCATGACTATCGGCATCACCCCGTCCTGGTCCACTGCCCACGGCCACTGGGACAGACAGGTTACTGGGGGCCTCCCCAGCCACTCCTGAGAACTTCTCTGTCTAAAGGGGAAGAAAAGTGGTTAGGAGCAAGGAAAAGGAACCGTGGAGTGGCAGGCAAAACCAAAAGGGCATTTACCTCGGTGATCATGCGCCCCCGGGTCTTGTTGCGCTCGCGGTAGGTAGCCCGCTTCTGCTGCTGCTGCAATACTCGTTCCCGACAGGTCCGATACTCGAGTGCAAACTCTCTCAGGGTGTGACAGAACTGCATGATGCGAACTTCCCGGGCTGCCTGCGCCGTGTAGCCCAGGTAGAGCAGGAAGGCATGGAACCTAGGCAGGTCGGAGTGGGAGATGTGGATGGTGAGCCCTGCCTGGTGTTTAACAGGATGGTGGTGGCAGTCCTCTCTCTCTCTCTCTCTCTCTCTCTCTCTCTCTCTCTCTGCCCTACCTGTTGCAGACTCGGCGGTGCACCACCCTTAGCATGGCTACCCGGCGTGTACACTGGGTCAGGAAGTGGGTGAGGCGAGCACGTAGAGCTGGGGCTAGCTCATGCTTTGCTAAGC